GTGAGACAATGGAGCCAAACCCGACATACGCAGCCGTCGCCCAGAGCGAGCCGTCCGGGAAAGACACTTGGTTCTTGGATAGTTGCTGCGGACAGCATATGTGCTCCTCGGGTCGCTTCGTTCAACGCGAACACCAACTCCAGCGCGAAGTCGTCATCACCGTCGCCAACAACCAGAACCTGCGCACACGACGGCAAGGAGTTGTTCAACTTCAGTCAAGAGAAACAAATGTAATACTACAGATGTCAAAGGTCTTAATCGCGGAGGGACTCGGCTACAACTTACTGAGTGTCAGTCAACTGATGGCGAAAGGCATTCACCTCGAAGCAGACAGCACCACCCAGGAGTTCAAGTTGTATCACGGGAAAGGCGGACTTTACATCGGAAAGGATGTGTTGAAGAACAACGTCTTCGTCCTCGACTTCGTTCCAGATCTTGGCACCGCTGACAGCGACGGAATTGTGACCTTCACTTCCTGGACACATCCCCCGGATCTTGATCCCGACTTCAGTCCAGGCGGCTTCTGGTATTCGCACACCATACCTGAAACAGAAAGAACGAGAGCATTAGCAACAATTCAATCGGCAGCAGCAGAGACAACATCGGCAGCAGCAGAGACAACATCGGCAGCAGCAGAGACAACATCGGCAGCAGCAGAGACAACATCGGCAGCAGCAGAGACAACATCGACACCAATCGCTGGTCCTTCAACAGCACCGGTCTTCGTCGAAAACACATCACCGACTCCTGCGCAGCAGCTGAATCCAACTCCACGAGAAGTCCATCGAAGCGCAAACTACACCGCAGGCTTCTACTCCAACTCCGACCTATACCGACGCTCACCCGGACATCGCGCTGACGAAGATCTCTGGCATAAACGAATGGGACACCCAAGCAACACGACGTTAAACAACACGATACGAGCAGGCGTACTCGACAAAGACTCTCTACTCCTACCCGACGGAAGAGAACTTCGACGAATGCGAGGAACCTGCTTCACCTGCCCCAAAGCTCACTTACCGCATCAGCCCTTCGTCTCTCACCACAACCCAAGTGCACCGGCGTACGCACCTTTGGAGAAGGTCTACAGCGATATATTGTACAATCGTGAACCTGGTCAAGGAGCGTATAACTACGTTATCACCTTCATCAACGCCGCCACGCGATACGTCTGGCATCTCAACCTTCCGAGTCGCGACATGGCTTTCGAAGCCTTCGTCGCATGGCTTCCAGTAGCAGAACGAGTGTCAGGCGTAAAGCTAAGGAGCTTCCAGTCAGACGGAGCAGGGGAATATACGTCACAACAGTTCAAAGACTACCTGGCAGAACGAGGAATCAAGCGCCTCATCTCCCTTCTCTACGCCCATCAACAGCAGGGTGTAGCAGAAAGAATGAATAGGACCCTTCAGAACACCATGCGCAAGCTGCTACGTGGCATGCGGCTACCCAACCACCAGTGGGCCGAGGCAATGGACCACGCCGTGATGCTGCACAACTTGCTTTCGTCATCATCGCTCCCGAACAACGCATCACCGCATCTGCTGTGGACAGGAAAACTGGGCAGCACAAAAATGTTGCGAAATTTTGGCTGCATGGTACAGTACCGACCCCCAGCTGCACGCGCCGGCCGATTCTCCCAACGCGCACAGTGGGGACTACACTTGGGCATCGAAAAACGTTACAACGCATGAAAGATTTTCGACATCAACACAAAGGAAACAGTGGCAGCACGTGATGTTATCTTCTACGAACGCCTCACTCTTTCAACGTACCTGTACAACTTGGAGACTTCACGAGATGTCACAGGCGGATTTCGTGGGGACCGAGCCTTCGCTTCGGCAGCAGATGAAGCTGACTTGGACGAGCAGACCATGGACGGAGCTTCGGAAGAAGCCGGACCTCTTCCCTACTGCTCGGTGGACGTTCCAATGGATGACAACAACCCTCGCGAAAGCGTCAACGCCGAAGTCTTCTACGATTTCGCCGACAATGGTTACGTTACACCCGCCCGAGTCAACACCAACGAAGCCAAGCGCATAGGACCAAATTTCTTACCTGACCCAGAAGCAGGTGACGAAGCAGCTTATCCCGAGGACACAACACTCCCCCGCTACACACAGAGCGGACTCCAGATACTTGGCCTCGTCACCGCGGTTCACGGCACGGAGATTCCTAAGGAGCCTGCCACCGTTCAGCAGGCTCTGGGGGGGGAGCATAGGGAAAAATGGCGCAAAGCCATGGACAGGGAGCTGAAAGTGCTGGAAGAACGGAACACCTGGAAAGTCGTTCCCATCGACGTAGCACGCAACAAAACGGTACTCACCGGAAAATGGGTCTTCCGTGTGAAAACAAAGGCAGACGGCACCATTGACAAGTTTAAGGCGCGCTGGGTCGTACGCGGTTTCGACCAAGAGCACGGACGCGATTTCACCGAGACGTTCGCACCGGTCAGCCGACACACTTCGGTACGAATTCTCCTCGCGATCGCCGCCATGAAGAAGAAGAAACTACGGCAAATCGACGTCGCCAATGCCTTCCTCTACGCACCTGTCGACGCCGAAATCTTCGTCGAATTACCACACGACTCCAACGGAGAGCCCAACCAAGTCTGTCAGCTGCTGAAGTCCCTGTATGGCATCAAACAAGCTCCGAGACTGTGGCAACAGCACCTGCACGCTAGACTCATCCGCATCGGGTTCCGCCAGCTACCGCACGACCAGGGCATGTACCGACTCACAAAGGGCACCGACTACATCTTACTGATCGTCTATGTAGACGACCTACTCTACATTGGCTCGACCGACGGCGTTACTACCTGGTTCGAAGGGGAGCTGCAGCAGGATCTTACTCTCACAGTGTCATCGACCGTCACGCAATACCTCGGCCTCAACATTCAGGAAGAGGAAGGCGCAATCTACCTCAACGCCGCGAAATACGCCGACACCATCGCCAAACGCTTCGGACTCACCCCGACCGCCATCTCCACGCCATACCGCTACACCACCGGAAGTCACAAGGAAGGCTCCGCTCCGCTCAAGCCCGTAGGCATACGCGACTACCAGAGAAAGCTGGGATGCCTCCTCTTCGCAGCCGTTACCTGTCGTCCGGATCTATCATACTCTGCAAGTCAACTCGCCACCTACCTCAAGAAACCTGAAGCGGAACACATGGCGGAGCTCGACCGCGCTCTTCACTACCTCGTCAGCACCCCGACGATCGGCCTAACCTACCACAAGACCGGAACCACAACACCTAAGTTAATCGGCTACGTCGACGCTGATCACGCCGGTAACTCTGACAACAGGCGCTCACGCACCGGCTACATCTACCGACTTGAGCCTATTGGGCCCATCTCTTGGCAGTCGAGCAAGCAGGAACTAATCGCTCTCTCCTCAGCTGAAGCAGAATACATTGCACTCTGCTCAGCCACCAAGGAAGGACTATACCTTCGCGAACTGCTGGAAGAAGCGAAGCTGGCCCAGTTACCCAACTTCTCCCTGTTCTGCGACAACCAGTCTGCAATCTGCATAGCCAACAAGAACGGATTCGCGAACAGAACGAAGCACATCGCCTCACGATATTTCTTCGTGAAGGACGAGATCGAGAAGGGGAGACTCGAGCTGTCCTACTGCCCCACGTATGAGATGGCAGCTGATTACTTGACCAAGAAGCTCGGAAAGCAGAAGTTCAAGTACTGCATGCTGCTGACTGGACAGAGCCACGTCACCAGCAGCGACACTCCAGAAGCGAAGGGGAGTGTTGGAAACAAGTGATTGAAGCGCTTCTGCTGTGTCGAAACATCAAGTCTTAAAACGAAGCGAAGCAGAAACGAAACATCAGCGAGTCAACCATCGGATCGGAGGTTGACAACTGAAACAACCGCTGGAGGTTACGCGAAGGTCAAAGGTCAGCGACCTTTGACTTGACAAATACAGCGCGACAGCAAGGACAAACAACTGACTCGATACAGAGCAGTTGCCCGAGTTGTCACAGTATCGAACCGCAACAGCAACAGTAAAACAGCTATTAACTGCATCTCTTCATATTCCTTGTACTCTTATAAAACCTTGTATCTTCTTGTTCTAATTAATCTACTTTGCCCTCACATACTAGCGCAAGGTGGTTCAATACTCTTCACTAAACGCTTCCGCAACTACAACATTCCTACCCACAGTTTAGTCCTGCAAAGATCCTAAGGGCTTTTCTCAGCCCAACAAGAGCATCATTTCAGAGAATCTGACGTAACATTCTACAAAACAACCACCTGACTCAATGCGTGCATGTATGGGGACACCTCCCGATGCACTTTCTTATACCAGGCATGCAGCAATTGCCAGGTGTGCGCACTGCAAAGCGCACACAAACCACCACTCTTGCTCTAACAAATCATAACCCAACAAAACGATACAAGTGGGGTGGCACCGTGGCACCGTGGCACACCTTACACTTGCTTATCCCATCCTCACAACCCCTGTGAGCAACTGAGCTGGGACTGAGCTGGATTGATTGGTGGTTGTTTTGTAGTAGGGAGACGTTGAGGTGGAGTGGGGAGGAGGCATGGATGGTGGTGATGGGGCAATGACAGTGGCGCTGCTGGTGCAATGAGCAGATGTGGGGAAGGCGTGCAGAGGTGCTGGAAAGGTGCTGCCAAGGTGACGATGAAGTGGTGAAGTTGAGCTGCATAGCGCGCCGCTGCGACATAAACATAGACAACTGCGCAATGAATCACTGCCCTGGGAAAAAAACGTAGCCGGCGGATTGTTGCCTTGAAGCTCCTTGTATCGATTTGTGAAGGAACAGAGCTCAGGGGAGGCTCAAAGTTCCATGGGTCAGGACAGTGGTGGGCACTTGCAGCAGTGAAACCATGCCACCACGCAACCATCCACCTGGGGAGAACTTGCTGCTCAAAAGTCCTGAGTCGCTGAGCTCTGACATGCTAGAATGCCAGGGCGCGTGATACCTCGCACTGGTTGGTTGGGAACAGGGAGCAGGGCCACCCCTCATGCTGTGGGCCGCGTCATAAGGGAGGCGCCCCGGCCGCCGCTCATTGTGCCTGCTGGTGATACCGGCTCTGATGGGTGAAAATGGGGGGAGGAGAGGAGAAGTGGATGGGCCATGGGGTTGGGGAGACAAAGAGGTCATTAGGGAGGCACCCCGGCCGCCGCTCATCATGCCTGCTGGTGATACCGCACAACAGAAACTTGCAACCACCAACACAACACAACACAACACAACACAACACAACACAACACAACACAACACAACACACCACACCACACCACAACACACCACAACACAACACAACACAACACAACACAACACAACACCACACAACACAACACAACACAACACAACACAACACACCACAGCACACCACAACACACCACAGCACAGCACAGCACAACACAACACAACACAACACAACACAACACAACACAACACAACACAACACAACACAACACAACACAACACAACACAACACCACACAACACCACACAACACAACACAACACCACACAACACAACACAACACCACACCACACCACACCACACAACACAACACAACACAACACAACACCACACCACACCACACCACACCACACCACACAACACAACACCACACCACACAACACAACACAACACAACACAACACAACACAACACAACACAACACAACACAACACAACACAACACCACACAACACCACACAACACAACACAACACAACACAACACAACACAACACAACACAACACAACACAACACAACACAACACAACACAACCCAACACAACACAACACAACACCACACAACACAACACAACACAACACCACACAACACAACACAACACAACACAACACAACACAACACAACACAACACAACACAACACAACAGCACGCTCCTCACCTGCGTCGCTCGCATCGCTCTCACTCCCTGCCGAGTCCACATCGGACCCAACGGCCCCGGCCACGCCAATGCACGTGAAGACGCTGCTGTCGTCCAGCGGGATGTGGTTGTACACCGTGTACACATCGTCCACCGTGGTGATCTCGTAGATGCACGGCAGGTCGGCGATGCACGAGACGGTCTTGCGCGGCACGTAGTCGCACTGCAGGTGTGTGAGCATGCCCAGCCAGTACGCATTGTCTTTGAGATCGGACTCGTGCCGCATGATGAGTGTACGCTTGGCCTGCACAGGGGACAAAAGGTGGGTTTAGGGTTGTGGAGGAGCGGACAAGGGTCAGGATGGCAAGCCACATAGTCGCACTGCAGGTGTGTCAGCATGCCCAGCCAGTACGCATTGTCCTTGAGATCTGACTCGTGCCGCATGATGAGCGTGCGCTTGGCCTGTTCAAGGGACCGAAACGGGAAGAAAAGAGAAAGAAGTTGAGGAGGAGAGGAAAGGGGAAGGTGAGTATGGCAGTGAAGGTGTGGGCCAGCCAGTGAGCATGGCAGCCAGTGCTCATTGTCCTTGGGGTCCAGCTTGCTCTTTTATCAAGTTCACTTTTGAGTTTTGAGTCGACTCAAAAGTCAACTCATTGTCCTTGGGGTCCAGCTTGCTCTTTTATCAAATGCCCTGGAAAGCGGAAACACATGCACGTCCCACCCACGCACGCACAATCAACACAATAAATGCCCGCTTTACCCACGCATGAGCACAATGCCCTCCTTACCAGCACACATGAGCACAATGCCCTCCTTACCAGCACACATGAGCAGCACAATGCCCTCCTTACCAGCACACATGAGCAGCACAATGCCCTCCTTACCAGCACTCATGAGCACAATGCCCTCCTTACCAGCACACATAAGCACCTCCCAATGCCCGCCCCGCCCCACATCAGAGGCATGCAAAAGCCTCCCCACACCCCAGGCCAGCTCCCTCTGCATGCGCCCCCCGTAGGAAACACATGAGCGCCAATCAACGGCCACAAAAAACACACGCAAGCGCACAAAAGCACCGCTCAACGCACCCGGTCCAGCTCCCTCTGTGTGATGCGGTTCGCCTGCAGCCCCCTGAGAACGTTCAGGGAAGCTTCCACGGCCTGCTGGATCTTGGCGGGTGTGGAGGTGACGCTGATGCAGAACCAGCCGGTGGCGAGGCGGTCAAACAGCGATATCTCAAAGTTGACGTCATATGTCAGCCCCAGGGCGTCCCGCACTCTCGTGAACAGGCTGTTGGCGTGGAGAGTGGGGGGAGGGGGACGGCGGGGAAGGGGGGAAAGGGGCAGGAGGGAAAGGGGAAGTGGGAAAGAAGAGGGGGCGGTCAGCAGGGAGTGAGGAACCGTGATCAGAGGAAGAAGGGAGTGGGTGTGGAGGTGACGCTGATGCAGAACCAGCCGGTGGCGAGGCGGTCAAAGAGGGAGATCTCAAAGTTGACGTCATATGTCACGCCCAGGGCGTCCCGCACTGTCGTGAACAGGCTGTTGGCGTGGAGAGGGGAGGTGGGAGAGAGGGAGGGGACCATTAGGGGAGGGGAGAGAGGGGAGACAGGGAGAGAGGGAGGGAGGAAAGAAATAGCAATGAGTGAGAGGTCAAGGGCGTCTCACACCATCTGAAAGAGTCTGTTAGTGTGGGCAGAGAGGGTCGGGGGGGGGGAAAGGGGTGGTGGAGAAAACATTTAGTTACCAGGGAGAGAGGACAACAGTTTCAAAAACTGTTGTGAAGAGGTTGTTAGGGAGGACACTGGGAGAAGGAAAGGATCCTGTCAACACCCTGTCCCTGCCCGCCACGCATTCACACCCAACCCCACACCCACCCACGCCCCTACCCACAGCGCATTCACACCCAACCCCACACCAACCCCACACCAACCCCACACCAACCCACACTCCTAACGCACCGTGCGTTGACAATCTCCTGCAGCAGCAGCACGCCCACAGACGTGTACAGCGGGTGGCGGCGCCGGTGCCAGTACTTGCGCCCATCCACGCCCTCCACCACTGCTGTTCCCAACGGTGCCACCGCCACCGCCTGTGCATCTGCTCACAAGGGAAGATGCACAACCACGCAGGCACAACCACGCAGGCACAACCACGCAGGCACAACCACCCAGGCACAACCACCCAGGCACAACCACCCAGGCACAACCACCCAGGCACAACCCCCCAGGCACAACCACCCAGGCACAACCACCCAGGCACAACCACCCAGGCACAACCACCCAGGCACAACCACCCAGGCACAACCACCCAGGCACAACCACCCAGGCACAACCACCCAGGCACAACCACCCAGGCACAACCACCCAGGCACAACCACCCAGGCACAACCACCCAGGCACAACCACCCAGGCACAACCACCCAGGCACAACCACCCAGGCACAACCACCCAGGCACAACCACCCAGGCACAACCACCCAGGCACAACCACCCAGGCACAACCACCCAGGCACAACCACCCAGGCACAACCACCCAGGCACAAGGGGCCTTAAAGAGGTGACCTCTTGAGCTGAGCGGCATTGAAAGGTACTTGCGCCTGTCTGCCCCCTCCACCACTGCTGTTCCCCGCGGTGCCACTGCAAGACGGATGAATGGAATTTCAATTCCGGAAGAAAGCAGAGGCCAGCTATTCTCGAGACATCTCGAACTAAAAAGTACAAGAGGAGAAGATGATCCAACACAAAGGCGAAAGAAATTGGCTACTTCTACTGGGTGGCGCGAGGGCGTGGGAAACAGGAGGAGAGCGGGTGAAGAAAGGGAGGAGCAGGGATGGGGAGAGGGAGGAGCGAGGGAGCCGTGAGACTGGACTTACCAGGGTCTCCTAAAAGGCTGCCCTCGCCCCTCCCACCTCCTCCCGCTGCTCCCGCTCCTCCCGGTGCTCTTCCATTTGGGCTGTGCGTGTTGCCTCGCCCCATGGTGAAAAGGTGCCTCATCGCTCTCGCCAGCAGCGGGCCTTCATCTGCCATTGCTGCTGCTCGTGATGCTGGTGGTGATGGTGGTGGTGGTGATGGTGATGGTGATAGTGGTGGTGATGTTAATGGTGATGGCAGACTAGGCGATAGCATGCACTCAAGCGGTGTACACTGATACATGTAAAAACTATTACTAATTGTATCGACTAACTTCATCCACTATTACCTTGTGCGAGCACACGCGTGCAACCACAAGACCGCGGCTTATGGCTTTGAAATTTAATGGGTCCGGGTTCAGGGTTTTGAAAGCCACATATTCCGGTGCAGAGCCGTTGGAGCAATCTTGCATGGCTGTGCGCCGTACCTGCATCCAAACCTGTGGCGCGCGCTGTACCTGTGCAGCCAAGCGTATTATTGAGTCGACTCAAAAACAAACCTGTGGCGCGCGCTGTACCTGTGCAGCCAAGCGGAATATTCCCAAGCACACACCCAATCAATCAGGAATATTCCCAAGCTACCTGCGCACAGCTGTGGTGCGTGCCGTACCTGTGTAGCCAGGAGGAATGGGCTCCAGGATCGTGTTGATATCCCGCCCATCCGGCGCAAATCCCCACCGGTTCGGCGCCGGACCTGCGATGTAGGCTCGGGCCCTCTCATCTGTGTCTCGCAAGAGCACCTGGAGAGGAGGGAGAGGGGTTGGGCAAAGGAGGGCGAGGAGATGGGGGGAGGAGAGAAGGCAAAGGGAGGAGGCATCTTGGAGATCGAGCATGATGAGGCGTCTGGAGTGGGGGGAGCATGCAGCAGGGGACAACCTTTGTGCCTAAGCATCCTTGAGACAGGCAGCACAAGCAGGCAGAAAGAGACCATCCTGAATGCTGGCCCGTTCAGAGCCGTGTGTAACGCTGCACTCACTCGCCAGCCCTTGAATCGCACCACGGCCGTACCTTGAAGCACACCTTCTCATGCCCACACCCGCTCACGAGATGAGACGACGCATACCTTCTAGCCCTACACGACACGACACGACACGAGAAGTTTTGTTTTGAGGCGCCTCAAAACAAGCCCTACACGAGACGAGACGAGACGAGGCTCACCTTCTCGTCGTGCAGGGCAGGCGGGCAGGGGGAGACCACCTTGAAGGGCGGCTTGCCAGGGAGGGCCAGCAATGGGGGCGGTGGGTGCAGCGGAGGCAGCACGGCGGCTTACCTTCTGGTCCCCCACGCCAATGAGACGCGTACCTTCTGGTGACGCAGGGCAGGCGGGCAGGAAGTGACCATCTTGAAGGGCGGTTCCCCAGGGAGGGCGAGCACAGGAGGCGGGTGGAGCGGGGGCAGCACGGTGGTGGAGGGGGGAGGCACGGTGGTGGAGAGGGGCGGCACGGAGCATACCTCTTGTGCCCTGCCTACCCATGCCATCGTGTTCCAAACAACGCACCTTCTGATGGCGCAGGGCAGGTGGGCAGGAAGTGACCATCTTGAAAGGTGGCTCCCCAGGCAGGGCGAGCACGGGGGGCGGGTGCAGCGGGGGCAGCACCGTGGTGGAGGGGGGCGGGGGCGTGGAGGCGGGGTTGGGGGGGAGTGCAGCGAAGGGCGAGACGACGTGGGCCGGGGGAGGGAGGGCGGTGACGGTGCCGAGGTACTTGAGAATGTGGTCCGTCATCTCCTCCTCGCTGAAATCGCCCACTATGCTCAACTGCGGGTATACGGGGTACGAGACAGGGGAGGGAAAGAGGGGAGGAGAGGAGAGGAGAGGAGAGGAGAGGAGAGGAGAGGAGAGGAGAGGATAGGAGAGGAGAGCGCATGGGTACTTGAGGATAAAGTCTGTCACCTCCTCGCTGAAATCGCTGTGCATGCACAAGGGGAGAAAGGGGGAGGAGAGGGGAGGGGAGGGGAGGTGGGACGGCAGGGGCAGCGGCAAAATTGGATGTCACAGCATCATCAAAACCTTGTTCTTTACCTTCTCCGGGGCAAAGGGTAAATCGAAACAGGGCAAAACAGCAAGCGATGCAGATGTCATACAAATAACGCACCTCAATGTTCCCGGACAGCAGCTGCTGCATGACGGCATGGCGCACGGTGTCAAGAGTGAGGTTGGACACAATGGCCGGGTGCGGGTCCAGCAGCCGTGTGTCCCCATCGAACATGGCTCCCATCAGCTTGCTCGCTGTCAGCCGCTCCAAGCTTTTAGGCAGGGACCTGGCAGTGCACATAGCAACATGAAGAGGAGCGGGGACAGTAACAAGGGTGAGAGAGCAGGAGGGTCCAGCAGGCGTGTGTCCCCATCGAACATGGCTCCCATCAGCTTGCTCGCTGTCAGCCGCTCCAGACTCTTCGGGAGAGACCTGCAAAGAGTGATGGGGGTCAGCAGCAGCATGAAGGGGGGAGGGAAAACGAAACGACAACAAGGGTGAGGGAGACAGGAGGAGCCCCAAACTCTTGGGAAGGAAACTGAGCTGGGCGGTGAAACATCCCTTAGCATGAGGGGAGGAGGTTAGACGACAAGGGTGAGAGAGGGTGTGCTTCTCGAGCATGAGGCACCATAAGAGAGACCTGTCAAGGGTCGAGGACGAAGGGAGAATTAGTCTCTAGGGCGCCCAGCCAAAAGAATTATGGAGGGTTGTGGACGGACGCGGGGAGCTGAACAAGCATACAAACGGGCTTTGGGATGACTCAAAACGCGACCTCAAGCAGCATAGAAGCATGGACTGCGCACCACACAGCTGTAGAGGGAGACACGCAATACAGGTCGCACGACAGCAAGGGAATGCCACGCACCTGTAGAAGGAGAGGTATGCCTGCTTGGCCCTCTCTAGAGCATCCTCGTCCCATGCCGGATGCTGCACGTGGAGCAGCGGGGGTGGCGGGATGGACAAGGATGCATGATTGTTTGGAACAGGCATGTACACAGAAACTAGCACGGTAGTACGACAACAAGAAGGAGCGAGGGAAGGAAAGAGTGCGACAATAAGAACAGTTACACTGCTCTGTATCACGGAGGAAAGAAGTGAAGGAACCACAGGAAGGGGTTGTTATTCTGTACAGAGACGAAAGCATGGATGATGTGATTTACTTCGTGGGGAAGAGTGATGGCACATGAATGGCAGGCAGCTCACGTGCAGGTGCAAGTCCATGCTCCCAGTTGCAGTTCACCACCATACATCCACCATTCACCCACAGCACCATGACCGTACCACACCACATCCCACTTGCACCACCCCACCTGCAGAAGCATTTATCACCACCATCCTCCACATCCCAGCTGCAGCAGCATGTGCAGGAGCTGGAAGGAGGCCTTGAGGCCGCCATAGCGTGCACCACCACCATCACCCCAACCCAACCATCCCCATACCCATCAGCCCCCCATCCCCATGAGCCCACCGCACCTGCAGCAGCATGTGCAGGAGCTGGAAGGAGGCTTTAAGGCCGCCGTAGCGCGTGGCGAAGTGCAGGTCCAGCGCCACGCACTCCTCGTCCGCCTCCAGCATGCAGTTCACCAGATTCGCCAGGCAGAACAGCTCCACCTGCTCCCGACTGTACTCCCCCACCCGCCCCGCCTCACTGAGTGTCCTCACGCCAACCGCCACCTCGCCTGCCCCCTGCGGATCCTCCTTGGCCCGCCCGCCTGGGAACACCAGCCGCAGCACCCCGCCCTTCGCCTCGTTGTCCGTCACCTGCTTGCAGTGCGGTGGGGTGGGGTTGGGTGGGGTATGGTGAAGTGGCGTGGGGTACGGTGAGCTGATGTTGAGTGTGGTGGTCAGGGGTGCAGAGGAGGGGAGCGAGCAGTGTGTATCAATAGGCAGGGGTACAGGGAGTGCAATAGCGGAAGGGCGCACCAGCAGTGCGTATCAATAGGCACTCCTTACCTCGTTGAATTTCAAGAAGCACCATCTTCACTTGCGCACGGGTGGTGGAAAGGAGGAAGGAGAGTGTTGACACGTGCAATAAGTGCGTGGCATGGCATTGATCTGCTTGACCGCCCCATGGTCACACTGCGACCCCAGCCAGCCATCGTTCCTCACCACCCATCACGCCATGTTCACCGCACTACACCGCTCCCCACCTTCATGTTGACACGGATCCCGTTGCTGAGGCGGCGCTGGATGATGCCCGTCTCCTTGTTGTACTGTCGCACGCGCCACTCAGACGGCGCCACGTCAGAAGCGTTGCCCTCGGTGGGCGGGAACGGCACGAACCGCGGCCGGATCTTCTGCTGCAACTCTGCCAGCTCAGCATCGGAAATGAGCGTGCGGGGGACCTCCACCTGGCATGGGAGCAAAAGCAGGGAAGAGAGAGGGCTCTTGCGTCCACGTCAGCAGCAGGCTTTCTTCACCTCTTTGAATTGACACCCACATCCGTACACTCACATCACCTACAATCACACTGCCTCCTGCTCAAGTCTTTGAGGCTGACATTCCTACCACTCAAATCCCCTACACTAACACTGCCTCCTGCACTGCTTATGACCGCCCTACACCACTCACCACCGCGCTGCACCGCTCACCTCGTCCTCGGGCTGCACGTCCTCCCTGAGCCCCGCCAGCAGCGCATCCCTCACCGCCTCGGGAGTCACCTCAAACACCACGTCACTCGCCGCCCCCGCCCCCGCAACTGCAGCTGCAGAGGAAGAGCTCTGCACCATCGCCCCATTCCCACTCCCACTCCCATTCCCACTCCCACTCCCACTCCCGCTCCCGCTCCCGCTCCTCCCTTCTCCCGCCTCCTTCCCACCCTCCTTCCCGCCCTCCTTCCCCCCCTCGCCCCACTGCACGTGCATCCTCGTCGGCACGCACACCACAATCGCGGCCGGTCGCGGCGCGTCCCCCTTCCCATACTCCGCCACGAACTCCAGCACCTCCGCCGCCGCCGCATTCACATCCTCCAGCTCGATCATCGGCGCGATGGCCGACAGGCACTCAAAGCTCTGCTCTGGATCCAGCACCGCGTGCCCCAGCGCGAAACTCTCCATCAGAAAATCGAGAGAGTCGATGGAGTGGATCGCGTCGGTCATGGCGGCGTTGTGCTCGGAGTCGCGCAGCATGGTGGTGACGTAGCGGGCGAGCTCGCCGCGCGTGAGGCCGAACTGCTGCAGGCGCCGCACCTCCTGGAGGGCGACGGTGAGCGCGGACTGCCAGTCGGTGGGCTCGGCTGTGACTGTGAGCGTGGTGACGGTGCACCCCTCCCTGGCACTGTCGCTGTGATCCAGGTCCACTCCCAGGAAGGGCACTGTGCCGTTCTGAGGGTGAGGAGAGGGGGGGCACGGAGACGGGAGGACGGGGTGGAGAGAGTGAGTGTGGTGACGGTGCACCCCTCCCTGGCACTGTCGCTGTGATCCAGGTCCACTCCCAGGAAGGGCACTGTGCCGTTCTGAGGGTGAGGAGAGGGGGGGCACGGAGACGGGAGGACGGGGTGGAGAGAGTGAGTGTGGTGACGGTGCACCCCTCCCTGGCACTGTCGCTGTGATCCAGGTCCACTCCCAGGAAGGGCACTGTGCCGTTCTGAGGGTGAGGAGAGGGGGGGCACGGAGACGGGAGGACGGGGTGGAGAGAGTGAGTGTGGTGACGGTGCACCCCTCCCTGGCACTGTCGCTGTGATCCAGGTCCACTCCCAGGAAGGGCACTGTGCCGTTCTGAGGGTGAGGAGAGGGGGGGCACGGAGACGGGAGGACGGGGTGGAGAGAGTGAGTGTGGTGACGGTGCACCCCTCCCTGGCACTGTCGCTGTGATCCAGGTCCACTCCCAGGAAGGGCACTGTGCCGTTCTGAGGGTGAGGAGAGGGGGGGCACGGAGACGGGAGGATGGGGTGGAGAGAGTGAGTGTGGTGACGGTGCACCCCTCCCTGGCACTGTCGCTGTGATCCAGGTCCACTCCCAGGAAGGGCACTGTGCCGTTCTGAGGGTGAGGAGAGGGGGGGCACGGAGACGGGAGGACGGGGTGGAGAGAGTGAGTGTGGTGACGGTGCACCCGTCCCTGGCACTGTTGCTGTGATCCAGGTCTACTTCGAGGAAGAGGACCGTGCCGTCCTTACAACAGCAGGAGAGAGTCATGAGTTGGAGAGAGTGAGCGTGAGAAGGAGAGAAGCCACGGGCATGCGGGGAGAGATGGAGAGAGTGAGCGTGATGATGGCACAGCCCTCAGAGGCAACCGGGCAGAGGGAGCAGCGAGAAAGATATCAAAAGATGAAACAACTGGTTTTTGAGTCGACTGAGAAATCGGCTCACCTTGTAGCAGTTGTTGATTCTGAACTGCAGGGCGTTGAGCACGATGCGCTGCGCATTGCCCCACCTTGCTCATGGCTCACCTTGCGGCCCATGCTGGCTCATCTTGTACCACTAGCTGCCGCCTCACCTTGTAGCGGTTGTTGATGCGGAACTGCAGCGCGTTGAGCACGATGCGCTGCATGACCGCGCGGCGCAGGTCGCCCAGCGTCTGCACCTGCTTCACTGGGTTCTGGTGGGAGGCGCGGGGGTGTGCAGGGAGTCGAGCAGGGAAGGTGTGGGCATGAGCTAAACGTGAGGGCGACGTGGCCATATAAGGACCGGTGGAACCACACTTCAACGCTTCAACAGCGCACCTTACAGAACACGGTGAGGGAGAAGTTCTGCAGCAGCTCGTGCTGAAAGATCACCGGCATCACCACCCCCTCCCTTGCTGCTGCCTGCTGCTGCACCGCAGCTGCTGACGGCACCACCGCCGGGGGCAAAAAACCCTCTCCCCCCGGCCTTCCCCCTACCTCCGCGCCTTCCCCCGCACTCCCCCCCGCGTCCCCCCCCTCCAGGTGTTCTCTCGCCCACGTGTGGCGTACAGGCGGGCGCATAGCATGCCTCTCCTTGCGCACAGGCCCGGGGATGGTCGCGGGGGAGGCGGAGGGGGAGGGGGACTCGGCGGAATGGGGGTGCAGGGCGGAGAGCGCGGAGCTGGGGGGGGCGGCGGGCATGGTGGGGGAAGTGGCGGGGTGCATGGGGGGAGTGAGGCTGGGCGCGGAGGAGGCGGAGGCGGGGGTGAGAGAGGGCGCGGAGGAGTGGTGGTGTGAGATGGAGGGGGGGAGAGTGGAGGAGTGGACGGAGGGGGAGTGGGAGGGGATGGTGGGTGTGGGGCTGGGGGGAGGCGGCATGTGCATGCCTGGGGGGGTGCGACCAAAGTGCTCCTGAGAGGGCAGGGCACAAACGTAGGGAGCAGAAGAAAGAAGACCAAAGTAGTGAGTTGGTGGAAAGGAGTACTGGGGATTTACCAGCGGTCGTGGAAGGCAGTGAGTCACGATCACACACCCAGTGATTCACCTTCAATGAGCCGGATGATATCTGACACAGACGCCAGGTCCCCCACGACATAGAGCGTGGCGTTGGCAGGGAAGTACCAGCGGTCGTGGAAGGCGGTGAGTCTACCTGTGAACTACCACCCACTCTCACTCACCTCAATGAGCCGAATAATGTCCGAGACCGATGCCAGGTCCCCGACAACATAGAGCGTGGCGTTAGCCGGGAAGTACCAGCGGTCGTGAAAGGCGCGGATCTGATCCACCGGCCACTTCTTCACCTGCTCCTCCTGCCCTATCGGGAAGCGACAGCTCAGCAGGTTCTCCGAGTGCATGTGGTGCAGCAGCTGCGACAGGCCACGTGGTGTGAGGGCGTTTACAGGAAAACAGGAAGGAGCGGGACGAGGTGATGGGGGACAGTAGAGAGAGGAAAGGCGGGATGGTAGGAGGGCGGAAAAGGGGAAGGGGGAGAAAAGAGAGGAAAATATTGAGATGAATATGAGCGCAGACATGCTAGAAGGGAACATCGTACTCGATTGCACTTTATGTCTGCATCAGACAAAAGAGCAGCTTGATACTGAACATGGTACCTAGCAGTCAACATAGTACATAGTGGTCAACGCAGCACCACCCACCTGGCAGTCAACGCACCACCCACCTGGCAGTCAACGCAGCACCCACCTGGCAGTCAACGCGGCACCCACCTGGCAGTCAACGCGGCACCCACCTGGCAGTCAACGCGGCACCCACGCACCTGGCAGTCAACGCGGTACTCGATGGTGTTCATCATCTGCATCTCCGACAGCACGGCGCGCCTCTCCTTGTCAATGCGCGACGGCAGGAACTTGGGTCCGAACGCGATCTCGTGCAGCGCCGCCAGCACCATCGGCAGCATAGGCTCCTGCGAGCCCTGCGGAGAGGAGGAGGAGGGGGGAAGAGGGAACCGGAGTGGCAAGGGAGAATGCACGGAGTGAGAGGGGACCGAACGCGATCTCGTGCAGTGCTGCCAGCACCATGGGCAGCATTGGTTCCTGTGAGCCCTGGGGAGAGGAGGAGGAGGTGTTGGTGCGGGGGTGGGTGGGGAGAGGGAACAAGAGAGGAAAGGGAGAATGCACGGAGTGAGAGGGGACAGAATGCACTCTCATGCAGCGCTGCCAGATCCATCAGCAGCATCGACTCCTGTGAGCCCTGGGGAGAGGAGAGGAGTCGGGAAGAGGAGGGAAAGAAGGAGGGGAAGGGGGAAAAGGGTAGGAGCGGAATGCTACACGAGGTTATTGCACAATGTTGTTGCAGTGCTGTCAGCACCATCATAATGGGTGGAGAGGAGAGGAGAGGGGAGGAATGGGTGGGGTGGCGGGCGGGATTGGGGAGGGAAATGCTACATAATGATCCTTGACGATCTCGTACAGCGTCGAGTGGGGTGTGGTGTGGTGCATCCACAAACACCACATCACACCACCCCACCCTACCCCATCCCACACCACACCCCAACCCACCCCACCCCACCACCCCACCCCAACCCACCCCACCCCACCACGCCGCAACCCCCACTGCACCCCACTCTACCGCACTGAACCCACTTGCACGGTGACGGGCGCGTGCACGTGGAAGACGGTGTGGTGGAAGTCGGTGTAGGCGTTGGAGCGCGCGCCCGTGCCCAGCAGCTTCTCTCTCTTGCGCGACCCCAGGAAGGTGACGTGCTCGATCAGATGTGCCAGTCCCTGCTCGTCCTCCCTCTCGTCCACCGACCCCACGTGCATCTCCAGATGAGCCTCGAACCTGAATGGTGGCATGATAAAAACGGGACGGGAATGAGGTAAGGGGGAAACGGACCTTGGGTCGGGAGGAAAGCAAAGAGTCCAGGAAGGTGACATGCCCAATAAGGTGCGCCAGTTTATGCGCGTTCCCCCGCTCGTCCACCGTCGCAACCCCGTACCTGTTGGGCGGCAGTTTGTTGGGCAGGATGACGTATCGCAGCCCGTTATCGAGCATGCCACGGTGCACCTTCGGGTGGCTCGGTAGCCGCTCGCTCAGAAGCGCTTCCACCTCCGCGCGCTCCGCATCCGACATCGTCATCCGCTCCGCCTCCACCTCCGCTCCCCCCGCTTCCCCCTCCTCGCCGGCGTCGTCTCCTAGGTATTGCCCCTTCTTCCCCTCCTCCTCCTTCATTCGCCCTATGATCTCCACGAGGTTCCCCAGGGCCGGCAGAATATCCGCCGGGATCGGCGGCGACGCGGTCGGCGCGGCTTGCGGCTCCGTGGGGCCCTGCGACGCGTGCGACTGCGACCGCGGCGACACGGCCAGGCGGCAGCGGCGGGAGAACCGCGCGCCGGCTGCGGAGGGTCCATCAGAGCTGCGGGGGAACGAGGCGCGGGAGCCGGCGGAGGGCGAAGTGGCGCGGGGAAGCGAGCGCGCGACGGGCGTGCGCAAGGTGTGGCCGAGAAATTCGGACGAGGCGACAGCATCGTGCTGCCGCTGCTGCTGCTGCACATGAGTTCTGTGTCCGAGGTGATTATATTGAAGGGCGGCAGAGGACGAGGAGGATAGTCTGCTGCTGTTGCTGCAGCGGCAACCGGCATGTTTTTGAGAAAGCGTGGAGGTTAGAGGGGAACAGTGAGAAGGAACACTTCTCGCAGCGGCGGAGTGGAGCCTCGAGACTCCCAAGGTGCTCCGGGAACGCGCGACGCCTGCTGAGGGATGCCTGGCTTGGCCTTGCCTGCTCACGCAGAGATTCGAGACGTTTGAAAGGTCACAAAACAAAACAAAACAAAACAAAACAAAACGCACGGTAACGACAGTAGTAGAACTTAGTGGGGCAACGCACTAGGAGGAAACAGCGAAACGGAAAGCTCTGGAGCAAAGAAGAAGACAAGGTGGATCAAGAAAAAAAGGCAAGTTAACGGGAAGTAGGCTTTCGCGGCGAACCTTGCACGCCTGACTTTGTAACGAGAGTAAACGAAGAAAAGGTGACCCTAACGCGAATGTAACGGAAAAGGTAAATCCTTAATGATCAATCAGAACCCCGATTCTGAATTCATCGAAGTCGTGTCCAGTCGCAAGTGACGCATTACCATTGCTGTGCGACGCTTAGTCGTCTGACGGCTGTAGACTTCGCGAGACTATTGGAGATATTGTAAACCGAGGACGGCCTGAACTTGGCGGCATTAGGTTGACCTCGCTCGCGGCTGGCAATCAGAGACACGCCCTTACGCTGCACGCATCCAGCTGGCAGGCAGCCTGCCTGGGCTAAGGAAACGGCTAAGGACATCGCAGGATGTTACTAATTATAGGTCCGAAAAGCCTGCCAGAATGCGCAACTGGAACCTGATAGGTGCTCTAATTGTCCACACCACCGCTCTTCGCCTAACGCCGAGTGGCCTCTTTGGAGGAGGCTAACTGTCGTGTGCAGCTGCGTCAGATTGAGTGAACTAGGGTTTGTTTGCTCCAGTAGTCTAGCCTTGGCGAACTGGTGAAGGCGGAGGGGATGGGGAGGTGAAGCACGGACGGATAGAGATTGAATGGTGGCGCTTCACTGCAGGATGCAGGTCATGAACTTCTGGCGACAAACTCGACTCTCAAAAAGCAAATCTTCCTGCTGCCATTGGTGCGGAACGGGGCGGAGCAGATCTATCACGAATCCTATGGAAGGCGCCATTCTTACTACGCATTCTCTCCAAACGTGTCAGACCCGAAGTCGGACCCGAAGCAGCTACCACGATTTTGACAGGAAAATCGAGAAAAATCTCTGACCCGAAGTGAGATATCGACCCGAAGTGAGGTCTCCACTGACGTTTCACGACTCTAGAATGCGCTTGAAGGCTGATGGTGTACAATCTGACACAGAAACCTGACCGAAATCAACGGTCTATTTCTGCTGCCGTGTGTCTAATCCAACCAGAACCGAAAAGGGCGGGCTCGGTGTGCCCTGACAGAACACGAGACGGAGTGTTTTCACTTTGGCGCTGACACAAGTTTGAATCGAGGTTCGCTTGCGGAGCGACAAGAGATGTCGAGTGGGCCAATGAGAGAAGGTGCTCAGCGGAATTTGCTCCAGGTCAACGTGGCAAGAGGCAACGTGACGTGGGCCGACTCCTTTGACGCCATGTGGCAGTGATGTTGCACAAGTTCATGAATGCTACGGTAGTGTTGTGGCAGTGTTTGTGTATATGCTACGTACCTAATAAAACATGATGAAAACAAAAAACTATAATCCAGTCCTTATATTAATATAGTTAGTGACTTACGAAGGACTTCAAGAAACGTCACCAAACAACTTCCTTTAGTACACCATCCGTTACAGTAACGCATTTCCCTCCAATAGGCCGCGTGCTCCATTTCACAAGAACCAAACTTCGTAAGGACGCGTCACCTTTGTTCAATCCCCAGCGCCGATCCCGCGCAGGTTCGTTTTTTGGCGAGGTTGAATGAGGCTATGATGAGGTTTAGTGCGAGCCCTAACCTAAACCCTTTGTTTCTCCTTTTTTAACCTCGCTATAAAACGATCCTGCGTAGGATCGGTGCTGGGATTGAACATAGGTGACGCATCCTAAGGGTGTGTCACATCGCCAGACGAACAATTTTCGGAAAATCCGTCGGGCCGTTGTTAGCGAAGGTAACCACATAACGACAGTCGCCAAACTCCTGGCGAGCGTCGTTATTTTCGAAACAAGTTTGCGAATTTGATGGCCTTTGAACGGGCCGAAACTAAACCGTACACCGTGTCGACTCCAATCCGGCCAACGAGTCGACACTGTGAACGACAGACACCTGCGACGTCGCACGTCATCGCACAACCTATGGAAACAATCGCCGTCAAATATGCGACCCCGTCGCACATCTCCGGCTACTGTAGCACGTGCAAATGTGACAACTTTGATACAACGGCCTGCAAATCGGCCATCAAAGTTGTCACATCTGCAAAACTGCAAATCCTGGTCGTTTATCAGTCGACACTTTGTCGACCAATCCGTCGACTTTAGCGAAAGAAATGACGACCATATATGGTCGACGGATATTCGGCCAAAAGCCATTTTCGCAAATGGTTGGCGATGTGACACGCCCTAATCCCAGTTGGGATGGAAAGCCACGGTAGTGTCACACCGCGCGTATACTCGCCCTCTACGGGTCTGCCTGCCTGCCCGCAGGAAGCACTGGTAGATTAGTTGCCTTAGTAAACTACAGCACCGCCGTTTCACAACAGCTGTCTGTCCTGGTCTGAGTTCGAATTGGGACTCTCGAGAGGTACGGTCGGCAAGCATGTTTCGATCGATTCAACGGTTGTCTGGAATGTGGTCGAAAATCCAGCGCCATTCCGCACTCTTCCACTAGCATCCAATCCAATCCCAAGTTTGCGCCCACTCGCGAAACTTTTGCGATTACGGTACCACAATGATTCTTCCGCGATGAATTGGCAAAGGGAGACCAACGCAGTTCTCTTAGCGTTGTCGCGCAATGCTCGTAGTTTGAAGTTGTAGCATTTTATCCTTCAATCCCCGCCGCAATGATCGTTCGTGGCCTCGCTTATCGCTCATCGCTTATCGCTTATCGCGGCCCCCCCATGCACCGATCTCCACTCCTCGCCAGCACCGCATGGCCCCTCCGATTCCCGCTGCTGAGTCTCCCCTCCGTCGCTACCGCGCGCCCACCATTCTCTCACCGGCACTACTCCCAGTAACACTAACAGTAGTAGCGCCATTCGTGCCCCTCGTCCCATTGGTCCGCTTCGTCCCCTTCGTCCCGCTCGTTCCGCTCGTCTCCCGCGCCTCCCTCGTACCGCGCGCGCCACGCGCGCCACTCGTGCTGAGATCATCCGTACTGCCACTACTCGTACTTGTACCGGCGCTGCTATTCCTCGCCCGTCTCCCCGCTGTCGCCTCCTGTCGAATCTCGTCCGGATCTCCCCTGAAAGCACCAGCACTGCTGGCAGTAGCAGCGCCGCCAGAGCGCGGGCGCCGCCTCGCGGCGGACGAGCCGCAGGTGTTGGCAACGTCTGTCGGCCAAGTGAGTCTGCTCCTGCAGTCGAGCGACGATTCCCGCGATCAAGGAGTCGTCGCGAGTGGGGAGACCGACCCTCGTCGCCGAAATGTCAGCGAAGGTGTCGCGAACGTCGCGAATGATGTTGCGCGGGTCGCGTCTAATGTTCAAGCATCTAATGTGGTCAAAACGACAGCTTGCGACGTGAAGAAAGGGCGATGGACCGCCGATCCGTTGCTGCCGCTGTACGACGCGAAATCGTGCCCGTTCATTCCTAAGAAGTTCAACTGCGCTTCAAACGGACGGCCTGATAATGCGTACGAAAAGTGGCGGTGGGAGGTCGACGTAAACGGATGCACCGCACCACACCCTACCAGATCTACCCTCTGCGAGCTACTAAGACACAAGCGGGTTGTTTATATCGGGGACTCGATAATGGAGAACATGTTTGCGTCACTGGCGTGCATGGCGCATGCACTGCTGGGAGCGCCGGACGTGACGCCGGGGACAGTGGAGCGAGCATATTCACTGCACTGGTCGCACTGCAACGTCACCCTCACCCTCATCTGGTGCGTGTTTGGGCCATGGAGGACAGACAGGCTCTGAGGCGTTAGCGGGTGGGTGGCTCATCTGGTGGTGGGGGACAGAGTGGCTGTGAAACTGTGACTCGCTGCACTGGTCGCCGTGCAACGTCACCCTCACCCTCCTCGTCTGGTGTGTCCCTTGTTTGGTGGGAGGTGTTATGCTGGGTGTCTGCATTGCTTGGGGCGCTGTGGTGACAGCCTCTCAAGCTGCTACTCGCTTGCCCTGTGCCAACTCAATTTCTTCTTTCTTTTCGCCCTACTCCCGATGCTGATTCCTTGATGTGGCGTGGTTCGAACTGGCTTGCCATGTTGGTACCGCATGTCATGGCCTGCTGTGGATGGTAGGAGACGTGTTCTGGCATGTTGTGGCATGTGATGGCATGCTGGCGTGATGGCATGTTGGCATGTAGGAGAGTTGTGGCATGTTGTGTCATGCTGGCATGGTAGGAGTGTGTTTGGCATGTGAGGGCATGTGCTGGCATGGTATGAGTGTGTTTGGCATGTGAGGGCATGTGCTGGCATGGTAGGAGTGTGTTCGGCATGTTGTGGCATGTTGTGGCATGTTGTGGCATGTTGTGGCATGTTGTGGCATGTTGTGGCATGTTGTGGCATGTTGTGGCATGTTGTGGCATGTTGTGGCATGTTGTGGCATGTTGTGGCATGTTGTGGCATGTTGTGGCATGTTGTGGCATGTTGTGGCATGTTGTGGCATGTTGTGGCATGTTGTGGCATGTTGTGGCATGTTGTGGCATGTTGTGGCATGTTGTGGCATGTTGTGGCATGTTGTGGCATGTTGTGGCATGTTGTGGCATGTTGTGGCATGTTGTGGCATGTTGTGGCATGTTGTGGCATGTTGTGGCATGTTGTGGCATGTTGTGGCATGTTGTGGCATGTTGTGGCATGTTGTGGCATGTTGTGGCATGTTGTGGCATGTTGTGGCATGTTGTGGCATGTTGTGGCATGTTGTGGCATGTTGTGGCATGTTGTGGCATGTTGTGGCATGTTGTGGCATGTTGTGGCATGTTGTGGCATGTTGTGGCATGTTGTGGCATGTTGTGGCATGTTGTGGCATGTTGTGGCATGTTGTGGCATGTTGTGGCATGTTGTGGCATGTTGTGGCATGTTGTGGCATGTTGTGGCATGTTGTGGCATGTTGTGGCATGTTGTGGCATGTTGTGGCATGTTGTGGCATGTTGTGGCATGTTGTGGCATGTTGTGGCATGTTGTGGCATGTTGTGGCATGTTGTGGCATGTTGTGGCATGTTGTGGCATGTTGTGGCATGTTGTGGCATGTTGTGGCATGTTGTGGCATGTTGTGGCATGTTGTGGCATGTTGTGGCATGTTGTGGCATGTTGTGGCATGTTGTGGCATGTTGTGGCATGTTGTGGCATGTTGTGGCATGTTGTGGCATGTTGTGGCATGTTGTGGCATGTTGTGGCATGTTGTGGCATGTTGTGGCATGTTGTGGCATGTTGTGGCATGTTGTGGCATGTTGTGGCATGTTGTGGCATGTTGTGGCATGTTGTGGCATGTTGTGGCATGTTGTGGCATGTTGTGGCATGTTGTGGCATGTTGTGGCATGTTGTGGCATGTTGTGGCATGTTGTGGCATGTTGTGGCATGTTGTGGCATGTTGTGGCATGTTGTGGCATGTTGTGGCATGTTGTGGCATGTTGTGGCATGTTGTGGCATGTTGTGGCATGTTGTGGCATGTTGTGGCATGTTGTGGCATGTTGTGGCATGTTGTGGCATGTTGTGGCATGTTGTGGCATGTTGTGGCATGTTGTGGCATGTTGTGGCATGTTGTGGCATGTTGTGGGCATGTTGTGGCATGTTGTGGCATGTTGTGGCATGTTGTGGCATGTTGTGGCATGTTGTGGCATGTTGTGGCATGTTGTGGCATGTTGTGGCATGTTGTGGCATGTTGTGGCATGTTGTGGCATGTTGTGGCATGTTGTGGCATGTTGTGGGCATGTTTGTGGCATGTTGTGGCATGTTGTGGCATGTTGTGGCATGTTGTGGCATGTTGTGGCATGTTGTGGCATGTTGTGGCATGTTGTGGCATGTTGTGGCATGTTGTGGCATGTTGTGGCATGTTGTGGCATGTTGTGGCATGTTGTGGCATGTTGTGGCATGTTGTGGCATGTTGTGGCATGTTGTGGCATGTTGTGGCATGTTGTGGCATGTTGTGGCATGTTGTGGCATGTTGTGGCATGGTAGGAGTGTGTTCATGGTGGAGACAGCATGGGTGGACCCCGCTAATCTCTTCAAGGGAGGGCAGGTGGATGTGAGCACAGCCGACAGCGCATGGACGCATGTCGTACACTCCTATGGCGTCATTGTCTTTAACACTGGTCAGTGGCTCCTATGACCTGCGTGGATGGGTCAAGGCGCATGCATGGGAGGGCAGGTGGATGTGAGCACAGCCGACAGCACATGGACAGATGTCATCCACTCCTATGACGTCATTGTCTTCAACACTGGTCAGTGCCGTGAGCTGCATGGGTGGGTGAGCTGCATGGGTGGGTGAGCTGCATGGGTGGGTGACCTGCATGGGTGGGTGACCTGCATGGGTGGGTGACCTGCATGGGTGGGTGACCTGCATGGGTGGCATGGTTCAAGCTCCCTCCCTCTCCCCCTCCTGGCTCTTCCGCAACCTAACCCCATCTGCTTTGCCTCTCCATTCCCTCCTCCCTATGCCCTTTCCTTTCCTCATTTCCCTCCCCCATCCCCATTCCCACCGCCTCCTCCATCCCGTTCCCCTCCTCATTGCCCAATCTCCACTCCTCTCTTTTGCCGCATCCCATTCCTCTCTCCACTCCCCCATCCCTCCCCGCGTTCCCTCATCCACACCCTCCCCAGCCCTGTCTTTTCTCTTCCCGTCCTGCCCTCCTAGTCTGGCTCTCACAACCACTTCTCGCCTCCCCTCCCCCCCACTCCCCTCCCCTCCCTCCCCTCCCCTCTCCTCCCCTCACCTCGCCTCCCCTCGCCCCCCTTCCCCTCCCCTTCCCTCCCTATCCACCAGGCAACTGGTGGAAGCCAAGGCAGCTAGAGCGATACGGCCTCACACTCACCCCGCCCTTCCACCACACCGGTATTGTCGAGGCCTACCCGCATGGCCTCGCAACAATTCTCACCGCTCTGCACCGCAGGCGGCGCGTTACGGCGCGCGCGTTCCTGGTTACCAGCGTGTCGTTCCAGTTCAACGCCAGCTGTCCCGCCACGCAGCCCATTGCTGACCTGGCGACGGCGCGCACAACGATGGCGGCGCTGACCCGGCGAAAAAACGAGGTGTTGAAAGCGGTGTTGCGGAGGGTGGTGGGGGAGGAGGAGGACAGGGAGGGACAGGAGAGGGAGAGGGAGGAGAGGGAGAAGGATGTTGGGGGACGAAAGGGGCAACAGGGGCAGCAGGGGCGGCAGGAGCAGCAGCAGGCACGATCAGCACATGTACATGCAGCAGGGGCAGGTGGGTGGGGCAGCAGCATTCGGCTGTTGGACATCCATGACTTGTCTCTCTTCCGCCACGATGCACGGCCAGCAGCGTACCACGGGAGACAGAGCAGCCTGCATGACTGCGCTCACTACTGCGTGCCCGGTGTGCCCGACACGTGGAACGAGCTGCTGCTGGGGATGATGGCCGAGTGAGAGCCTGCTGGCTGCTGCTTCTAGAGATGATTCATCTTGCACGCCCACCCAGCCGGCATGACTGCGCACACTACTGCGTGCCCGTTGTGCCCGACACGTGGAACGAGCTGCTGCTGGGGATGATGAATGAGTGACAGACAGCCTGCTGGCTGCTGCTTCTAGAGATGATACATCATGCAAGCTCACCCACCCGCCCGGCACGCAGTAGTGAGCACTACTGCGTGCCTGGTGTGCCTGACACATGGAACGAGCTTCTGGTGGGGATGATGGCCAAGTGATATTTTGCTGGTCGATTGTTGGTACAAGCCTACCCGTCTCTGCTGTACCTCCAGGCTCATCCACCCTGCTGTGCATTGCTACGTGCCCGCCTTGTCTGAAATGTAGAACGAGCTGTTGCTGGGGATGATGGCTGAGTGACGGCCCGTTGGTTGCTGCCTCTAGAGCTCATGCATCATGCAAGCCCATCCAGCCTGCATGACTGCTTTCACTACTGCAACAAGCCCGGTCTCCCAGACACATGGAACAAGCTGCTGCTAGGGATGATGAGTGAGTTGCTGGTTGCTTGTAATACACCGTACCAGCCTACCAGTCCACACACAGAGCATCAACCATTTATTACCGTACACTGGGACAGATTGCTGCCATGGACGATGGGCTGAAGCTAAGATTGGCTCGTCTCTAAAGACTTTTCCTTTTGATGGCACGAATGTGTGGACTTTTCTACCAGATGTCTGCTGATACTGAACCCGAGAAGGATACTTTCACATCTGTAAATGTTGAAGCAGGTGTAGCAGGAATATTTCTGGACCACTGCGGCATTGCCCCAGTTTCGCCTACTGCCACTTCTGATCCGCTTCAATCAATGGCTCTTCTTCAACCTTTTCTACCCCAATAACAAGAAAAGAACCCATGTGTGTTGGTAACAAACAACCAACATGTTGTTTGTTGAAGGGAACCATACTTGGCAAAAAAACGCAGAGTGAACAGGAGGCCCCCCCTTTTCTATACGCCCTGGACCTTCACATCAACAAAAGGGATAGCGTTCTTTCCTGAGGTAGCCATAGTGGACATATGGCCAATGATGGCATTCTGTGCTATCTTGATTCTCTGGCAGGCATGGAGAAAGAGCAAGGACAGATAGAGATCATAAATGGCCAACAAGAGGCGGGTGATATAGACAAAGAAATGAGTAGCTTGAGAGTTCTGATTTAGTCTGAGCACTGTTGAACCCACCTCCCACATCGTCTTGCAATTGCCTGTGCTCTGCTTGAATCTCTGCTCCAAATTCAACCACAGATCCTCCACCCACTGCCACCCCTTCGTTGTTCCCAACTCCCTCTTACACTCGGCCAATTCCTCTTTCAGACGTGCCAACTCCCCCTTGCACTCAGTCAATCCCTCCTTCACAAGCGCCAACTCCCCTTTGCACGCCATCAATTCCTATTTCACTGCTGCCAACTCCTCTTCCGTTGATGCAGAAACCCCTTTCAACAATCCAAGCAGCCCTCTCACTGCTTCAGTTAAAACCGGGGTGCACATTCAGCTGAATGTGCATCAAAGGTTATCCCTTGACTGAGTGGGTTACGAGGTGTGCTTTCAACCCCTTCAAGTCGAAATTCGTTTCCCCCCTCCCCCGCAATTTCGTTTCCCCACGCCCCCGCAATTTCATTTCCCCCTCCCCGTCGAAATTCGTTTCCCCCCTCCCCCGCAATTTTGTTTCCCCCCTCCCCCGCAATTTCGTTTCCCCCCCCTCCCGCCAATCTGTTTCATCCCTCCCGCCATTCGGTTTCACCCACTCCCGCCATTTCACCCCCTCCCGCCACCTACGAAATGCCCGAAGCTCTAGCGGAATCATTTTTTTGTCGCCCCTCGTGAGCCAATCACTGTTTTTCTCCTAACCCCCTTCCCAACATCTCAAGCCGAACCGCGTTGAATGTGCACCCTGGTTTTAACTCACTTGGCTCTGTTTCCCCAGCCATGGTGCCAAATTACCGTCCTCTCGTGCCCAAATTCAGACTCCTGTTACCAATGCTCGAATTCAATCCGCCCTGGTAATCAAGAAAAGTGGAAGGAAGAAAAATACAGGCAGAGCAAAAGTAGTGAACCAGGAATCTGCAAGGGAGAAATGGGAGCAACAAATGCGCGACGAAGTTGTCTTACCTGTTTAAGGAGGAACCTTCTGACTAGCCGAGAGAACTAACGAGAGATGCGCAGGAAAGAGGGGTAAGTCGTCCTGGAGGCATAAGAGGGAAAGCCTGGTGGAGACAGTAAGTGGGTGCGCGGGCAACGTGGGTGCTCGGGCAACGTATATGAATTGCTAGACTGTGAAGACGATGCGACACGAGAAGGCTTGATGTGCGGTCACCAGGACGCGAACCGAGGCGCGGTTCATGGTAGTAAGAACCCTCGTTTTTCCCCCTCGTCTCTCCCCTCGTCTCCCCAGTGGCAAACGAGGTGAGCTGTCGCCATGCCAGTCATATTGCGAGATTTAGTCATCAGACGACGGACAGGCGTGAAATAGGCGTAAGTTAGGCGTGAAATAGGCGTAAGTTTGGCGTGAGATACTAGGTGTAACATAGACGTCACTTTCGGTGACATGCGCTGCGATATTATCTATGTGAGGGCATGTCCCACACATTTGTGAGATTGCGGCTGAATGAGATGCTTGATTTGTGCGACGGTCCGCAGGGCGTCTAGTTTTGTTAGGCAAGGTACAGCACATATAAACTCGTGAGACACGTTTTAAGACCCCTTGTTACCGTGATTCATAACATTCTATAATCCGTTCACAAAAAAATCAAATATCCAAGCTCCCACGCAAGTTACGGTACCTCTGTATCAGAGTTTGGATTCCCCAGCATAGCCTAGACGGTTGTCTGCCCAATTTTTTCAGTCCACACACTTCAATTGTAACCTCACAAAGGCGACTAGAAAAGAGCGTTCAACATAAATGGCTTATTAAATAGGGAGAAAGAGTGCACGGCTACAGAAAGAGTTAGAAGAGGCTACCGTACTTGGATGAATTGAGAGGTGCATGGTCCGAGACTATAGGGCTCCGAGGTGACTTCTGAGGGCTTTTGAGGCGACTTCAAAGTTACCTCAGGGCTACAGGAGATGCTACAGCAAGGGGCCACTGGAGAGGTACGTGGCCGATTTGAGCGGTGCCTGGTCCGACTCTATTATAGGGCTCTGAATCTCCACCTGCTCCCCCTCCTGCCCCAGCTCCACTTCCTCCATTCGCTCCCCCTCCTGCTCCTGCACACCATTCTCCCCAGCAGCACCAGCTCCCTTCTCCTTGCCCTTGCTGCTGCTGCTGCCAGGCCTGCTCCCTGTGCCACGTGGCCAGCACTGATTGGCCCAGGTTGCCGGCTTGGACGAGATAGAGAGTGCCGATTTGGGGGAGAGGGCGTGGGGGTGGGATGATGAAGGCGAGGGGAGGGAGGAGGTTCGATTGAGCGGGGCAGGGGAGTGAGGCGAGGTGATGAGAGTACGAGGAGACTTGATCGCAGCAACACCAGAACCAGCACCCGCACCAGCAGCAGCAGCAGCAGCATCGCCACCACCAACACCAGCACTCGCTTCTGGCTTGTGGGGGCCACGTGGGGAGGTGAAACTACCAGAACCAGTGCCGTCACCCCCATTACTCAGACTACGAGGGGAGATGCGGGGCGAGGCACGGTTGGATGCCGACACATTGCTGTTGCTGGCCGCACTGGGGTGGGAGAAGTCTGCTGACGCATCCTCGTCCACAGTGGGCAGAGGGAGCGGCGGGGGAATGCCAGATGCGATGAGGGAGTTCCCGAGGTTGGCTGCTGCTGCTGCTGAGGGGGAGGCGGTGGAGAGGGGCAGCATCTGAGCGGATTCTTCGTCTTCTTCTGCGAGTGCCAGCTGGATTTCTTCGAGCTGGCGCACGACCTGCGACATGGTGGGGCGGTTGCGCGCCTGGGTGGAGAAGATGGGGGAAGGCAGGGGGGAAAAAAAGAGGTGTAAGGGAAGTGGGATGGGGAAAGGCATGAAAACTGGAAAGAGGGGAAGACAGAACCAGGAGATCAGAATGTGAGAGGAAATTTTCTATTGGTGCAAGGCAGGCTGGACATCTCCCTTCGCGACGCGTCTCCCTAACAGCCAAGCCGAATACCCTTATCGGCCCACCTGCATCTCAAGGCATGCGAGAGCCAGCTCCCCCACGGCCTGCATGGACTGCAGCACCGCCTCTGACGCCTCCTGTAGCTCCCTCGCTGCCACCACGTCCACCCTCCCCGCCTCTATGCGTGGGGACGCCTGCAGTAGAGGGGGAGAGGTAGCGGGAGACAGCATGAAGGTTATGACCTCGGTTGGCACCCAACAAGAAAAGAAAATAAAAGAAAAGAAAAGAAAAGAAAAGACAAAGCCCAGTTTTTGACTCTGATAAAAAGACTTCGCGCTATTATTGAATTTCAGGAAAAAAACAAAACAAAACAAAACAAAAACAAAACAAAAAAGGCGGCAAAAAAGTATCTCCTCAACAATCACATACCTTGGGGTCGAGGAGAAATAATGCTCCTGCTGAGACCTGGGTATTACCCACCACTCAGGTGTATAAAGGCCATCACTGAACGAGTCTCCCATTCCCTCCACCCCTTCTGTCATGACTCACATTTCACCATCACATTACCCATCTCCCCCATGACTCTCTCACCCATTCCCCCCATGACTCTCTCACCCATTCCACGAGGTTCATGAGCCGGTCCTCATCGTCATCCTCATCATCATCATCACTGTCCATGTCATGCAGCTGCCTCTCCTCTGCTGCTGCTCCTCCTCCTCCACCACCATCGCCACCAGCACCACCACCAGCAGCGTCGCCACCATCTAACGGCCCAGCTTCACCAGAAGCATCATCGCCGCCATCGCCACCAGCAGCAGCAGCAGCAGCAGCAGCAGCAGCAGCATCAGCAGCGGGGGGGACAGGCGGCGCGCGGGGCTCCATCCAGATGGGGACCTTGCCGGAGATGAGCTCGAGCAGGATGACCCCGAAGCTGTACACGTCGCTCTTCTCCGTCAGCTGCTGCTTCGTGTAGTAGTTGGGATCCAGGTAGCCTGATAGGGGAGGAGGGAGTGGGGGAAGGAGGGAGGTGCCGGGAGCAGGGGTGGGGAGAGGACAGTTCAGCGCAAGGAGCAAGGAGGAGAGTTTCTCTGTCCGTCAGCTGCTGCTTTGTGTGGTAATTGGGATCCAGGTGCCATGGCGAGGGGGAGGAAATGGAGGGAAGGGAGGTAGCTATAAAGATCTGGCTGGACCAAGGAACAAGTATAGGAGACAACTTTCTTCATCAGCTGCTGCTTCGTGCAAAAGGTCAGGTTGGGATACTGCTGGGTGGGATAAGTTCGGGTTGTTCACTTCACGCTTTGTTTCCTCCATTGAGAGCAATGAGAATCACTGGACCCTCTTCCTTGACAACTTTTGATAAGTTCGGGTTGTTCACGCCTCAAAAGTGGCTTTGTTTCCTCCATTGAGAGCAATGAGCATCACTGGACGGACCCTCTTCCTTGCCAACCGCCATAGCCATAGCCCTCTTCTGAACGAAACCAAGGTCCTCTTGACCCACTCCCTCAGCCATGGAACGTTGACTCGCGTTGACCTGCACTGACTCACCCATGGTGCCCTTGACGTTGGTGCTGATGAGGTCCAGGTGTGTGCCACTGACAGCCTGCTGTGCCAGTCGGGACAGCCCAAAGTCCGCCACCTTGGCGTTCATCTGGTAGTCCAGCAGTATGTTGGTCGTCTTGATGTCGCTGGGGGAGAGAGTGGGGAAAGGGGAAAAGGGGACAAGGAAATGGGCGCATGGAAGTTAGAATGTGAAACGTTCAAAGTCCGCCACCTTGGCGTTCATCTGATAGTCCAGCAGTATGTTGGTCGACTTGATGTCGCTGGGGGGAGGGTGGGGGGTTGAGGAGGAGAGAAAAAAGTATATCGGGATGAGAATGGTCACCTGCTATCAAGTCCGCCACCTTGGCGTTCATCTGATAGTCCAGCAGTATGTTGGTCGTCTTGATGTCGCTGGGGGAGAGGGAGAGGTAGACAGGGGAAAGGGGACAGAGAAAACGGCATAAATATGGGTGCATGGGAGCAGTAACGTGCGATGTTCAGAGGGCGACAATAAAAAGGGGGAGTCCAGTCCAAATGAAATAATCAACTAGCTAATGGCAAGTGGCAGAGCGAGACTTAAGAGGACCAACCGGTGGATGACAGGTGGCAGGGCGCCTCGGTGCAGGTACTCGATTCCTCTGGCTGCTCCCAAGGCCACCCTGAGGCGAAGGTTCCAGGTCATTTCCCGAGCCTTGTCAGCATCTGAAAGGCACAGCGAAAAACAATGCAGAGTGGAATAAGTCCTTGGGCAGTACCACTGGCCATCATTTCTGGTTCGGCCTAGCGCTGCCAGTGGTGCTCCCAGTGGTGCTCCCAGTGGTGCTGCCAGTGGTGCTGCCAGTAATGCTGCCAGTGGTGCTCCCAGTGGTGCTCCCAGTGGTGCTGCCAGTGGTGCTGCCAGTAATGCTGCCAGTGGTGCTGCCAGTGGTGCTGCCAGTGGTGCTGCCAGTGGTGCGTTGACATGCATTCACTCACCATGCAGTGCATGCCTTAGTGTGCCATTGGGCACGTATTCATACACCAGCATGAGGCGCTGGTCGTCCTCCTCACAGAAGCCAATGAGGGAGACGAGGTGGCGGTGGTGCAGGCGCGTGAGCAGCTCGACCTCGGTGACAAACTCCTTCTCGCCCTGGTCCGACCCCACGTCCAGCCGCTTCACCGCCACCATGTGCCCGCTCTCCAACTGCCCGCGGAACACCTGTTGTTGGGGATGGGAGGAGGAGGGCAGGTGGGGAGTGGGAGAGGGAAGAAGGTAAAAACGGAGGAGAGGAGGGTGAGCAGTGAGCAGCTGCATTTCTGGCTTCAACTCATTGAGGTGTATTTGAGGCGCCTCAAAATACACCCCATTTCTGGCTTCAACTTCTTCGCGCCCTGGCCCGACCCCACGACCAGGCTGCCCTGCCGGCGTCACGGTGAGGCTTCCCACAATCTTACGCCATGATATGCCCCTTGTGAGGCTGCTGGCCCATGCCACACCTCGCTGGCGCGATACCAGGTTCACAATTAAGAAGAAAATTCAAAAGTGGTCCCAGAACAGCTGATTAAGACTGGAAAATCTGGCTGGCGCGACGGCAAAGGGGATTGCGGAAGAAGGATCGGGTCGGGAATCCTGGGTGGGGATTTCAGGCAGAGTGGCAGCTGTGGCATCGCATTCCTCGAGGCCGCCGGAAGCCCCCTCACTGTGGATCACATTTGGCCTGACTACAGCCAGCCAGACGCCTTCGGCAGAGCCAAGGAGGAACAGAACAGGGCAACGGGACGAGAAGGTATTACCAAAAAGAAGGCCAGGAACGAGACAAGTGCAGAGAAATAGGGAGTTGAGATTCCACCTGTCCAAACCCTCCCTTGCCGATGACATTAGCAGGTGCAAAGTCGCTAGTAGCCTCCCTCATCTCCTCCCACGTGAAGCAGTGTGCTCCAAACGCTGATACCGCCATGCTCCCTGCCCCGCCGCTGCCACTGCCCCCTCCGCTGTTGCCGTTCATCCCTCCGCCGAAGCTGCTGCCCAGGTACGACACCGAGCCTGTGGCGTTGGCTCGGCGGTTGAAGCGGCTGCGGGGTCGGGCGCCCAGGAGCTTCTCCCGTTCGGCTTCAGCCGCTGCTGCTGCTGCTCTGCGCGCATTGAGCCATCTCATGCCTAACAGCACTGCCAGGGCGACAGCCAACACCATGGCTGCTGACACCACTCCCAGCAGGATACCCTGGGGAGGGAGGGGGCACACGAGAACAGGCGACGGGTGGGGGGAGATGAGGTTTCAGCTGCTCCTGCCGCTGCTGCTGTAGCTCGGCGCGCACTGAGCCATCTCATGCCTAGCAGCACTGCCAGCGCGATAGGAGTGGGTGGGGACGGTGGGTAAAGGGAGAACGGACAAAAGGCTGTTTTTCTTTATTGCACATTTGGATCTTATTTGCATGGTCGTTGAGATATTCAATGCTTCAAACAAGCAATCACAAGGGCAAGAAGCACCTGACCTGAGATATTCATTTGCACTTAACGCACGTTAATGACCCAGCAACCACACCTCTTCCACTATCCCTTAACACACTTCCCTGGAAACCCCATCAACCTTGCACCTGCCAACCTGCCTGCACCGCTCTGCACCGCACAGCAAATCATCGTACCCGCCAGACGGACTGCACGACGACAGTGGGGTCTGCCTGCTGCTGTGCCGCCTGCTGCGTGGCCTTGAAAGCCGCCTCGCGCCCTTCCTCCCACTGCAGCACGTGAAACACCTCCACTGCATTCACAAACGCGTCCCTGGGTGGGGGGCAGAGAAGTTGGGGAGAGGAGAGGATAGAGTCGAGGAGGCAGAGGAAAGGTTTGAGTTGACTGCGAGGCCCTCCTCCTCCCGCACCTTCCTCCTCCTCCCACTGCAGCACGTGAAACACCTCCACTGCATTCACAAACGCGTCCCTGGGTGGGGGGCAGAGAAGTTGGGGAGAGGAGAGGATAGAGTCGAGGAGGCAGAGGAAAGGTTTGAGTTGACTGCGAGGCCCTCCTCCTCCCGCACCTTCCTCCTCCTCCCACTGCAGCACGTGAAACACCTCCACTGCATTCACAAACGCGTCCCTGTTAGAGAGAAAGCGGTGGGGGGGGAAGACGGGGGAGAAGGGGAAGGTGGGAAGGAGTACTTTGCCATTGGCGTTGGCAATCTTGATTGAAATTCGTTGGGTTCGAAACGCAGCAAGCCTGCTAAGAGTAACAATCTATAGCACTAGTCTACTAATCTGAAAGGCGAGGGAAGTAGTGAGAAAAGGTCTACTAATCAGAAAGCCAGACACATTAGGCCTGGATGTCGCGTGTGGGAAGGAGTAGTTTGCCATTGGCGTTGGCAATCTTGATAGTGATGAATCCAGAGGCGTTGCTGGTGACTGGCAGAGGTGGGTGGGGGGCCAGACGGGCGGGAGGCGAGGAAGTAAGGCGCGGGCAGGCAGCATACATACATAGTACATACATACCATGTGAAGCCGGTGTAGTTGGCATTGGCAATCTCGATAGTGAGGAAGCCTGAGGTGTTGCTGGTGACTGCACGAGGTGGGTGGGGGGGGAAGGGGATAAGGGCAGTGGCAGATGGGATAGGATAGCAGTTGAAGGAAGCTGATCGATTAAGGAGAGGTGGCGGCTGAGGCGTGACAGGGACAGGCGTGTTTTTTTAGTAAACTTAAAGTGGAGATAGGGTAGGGAGGAGCATAAGATGCGGGAGAAGGGCGGTCGAGGGGGCGGAGATACATTAAGTCAAAGTACACCTCCTTGACCATATAGCTGGAGGCCGATTCTGAGACATTTCCAGAATAGAATGGGGAGGGGGGAGGGGAGACATAAGAGCTCACCGTAAAGCTCCTTGGCCAAATAGGTGGCGAACGGAGCGAAGGCGTCAAAGGGCTTCAACGCCAGTTGGCCGTCCACAAACACTTGCAGGAAGCGCGCCCCCTGATGTGCCATATGTGATGCCACACCATGCAATACCATACCATACCATACCATGCCATGTCATGCCATTCCATGTGGTCCCGTGCAATGCCGCACATTCCATGGCATATGTCACAGCACATGTCACCGCACATGTCACAGCACGTGTCATAGCACGTGCCATAGCACGTGTCATAGCACATGCGATAGCAGCATATGTAGCAGCACGTGAGAACACACCACGGTAAAGCAACAATGTCAAACAGTGCAGGGCAGTCAGCACGAGCAGGTGCAAGGTGGGCGTAGAGCATGGAAGGCCACGGCATGGGACAGCATGCATGGTGTGGAACGGCGTGGCATGGGTTGGCATGGCATGGCATAGCGTGGCATGGCGTGGCATGGTGTCGCATGGTGTGGCATGGTGTGGCATGGCGTGGCATGGTGTGGTATGGCGTGGCATGGTGTGGCATGGCGTGGCATAGTGTGGCATGGCGTGGCATAATGTGGCATGGGGTGGCATTGTGTGGTGTCGGTTGGCATGGCAAGGCATGGCATGGCATGGTGTGGCATGGTGTGGCATGGAGGCATGGCATAGCGTGGTGTGGCATGGTGTGGCATGGTGTTGCATGGAGGCATGGCAATGGCATGGTGTGGCATGGTGTGGCATGGAGGCATGGCAATGGCATGGTGTGGCATGAATGAAAGCAGCCCATCTCACCTGGAAGTCAAATAGCCCGTCTTGGAAGCCGAGGAAGACAGCGAGGGGCGTGGAGGGCGGCACGGGGAAGACATACTGCAGCGTGTGCGCCTTGAACCTGGCCTGCGGCTCTGTCTCGTGCCCGTTCACTGTCGTCCGCCATTTCTGCAGGGTCATCAGAGGCGCGATGCGATGCACGAGATGCAACGCAGAAACAATGGGCTCATGTCGAAAATTCTCAGACTAAATTTGACTTCAGAGGCGTGGGGCACGAGATGCCACGCGGAAACAATGAGTGCATGCATGGCTCGCTGCGGGTACATGCCCATCTGTTTGTTTTGCCAATTCGGCAGTCTAAAGAAACGAGGGACGAAAGTCAGATTGGGGTGAGGAGAAGAGATTCGTGAGTGAGGCACAGTGGAATGCAAGAGCACAGTGGAATGCAAGAGCACAGTGGAATGCAAGAGCACAGTGGAATGCAAGAGCACAGTGGAATGCAAGAGCACAGTGGAATGCAAGAGCACAGTGGAATGCAAGAGCACAGTGGAATGCAAGAGCACAGTGGAATGCAAGAGCACAGTGGAATGCAAGAGCACAGTGGAATGCAAGAGCACAGTGGAATGCAAGAGCACAGTGGAATGCAAGAGCACAGTGGAATGCAAGAGTGCATGAGAGATGAGCCGCAAGGCTTAGATGCAAGCATGCATGCATGAAGCATACGCATGGAGGCAGGCAGGGGAGGGAGTACTACTGACAGTGAATACAGCATCTGGCGGCATGTTGGGGTTGTCTGCGTTCTCCACTGAGAAAAGTGAGGTGTAACCCTGTGGGTGGGGGAGATAGGGGGAGAGAGTGAAGGCAGGGAGCTAGAGTGAGTGAAACAGGGAGTGATTGAGAGAAGGAGACTGGGGCAGAGAGAAGGCGAGTGAGGGAAGGGGAGACATGGTGGGTGAGGGGAAGGCATGGGTAAAGCATTAGGTGGATTGGTGCTGAAGGGAGTAGAAGACGGTTGACAAAAGAAAGCGACAACAGAAGGAATGAAAGAAAGGAAGTCGAAAGACGATGACTCATGGGGATGAGGATCGAAATTATTAAAGAAGCTTGTTACTCGGTCGGTGTTACATGAAGTTGGGGAAAGAAGGATCATGGGGAGCGAGTAGGATTCAGAGGAGCACGGAGGAATAAGCGGAGGTGAGGAGGAGTAACAGGAGTGAGGAGGCTTGGTGCAAGGGTGCTGTTTCTCACTCACCCCAGGAGCGTTGTCCACACTCATTGTGTTGGCCGGCAAAAGAGCTGCCTCTTGAGCCAACTCACAAGCCAGCTCGTGACATCTTTTGAGGCGTCTCAAGAGCCAGGTCGTGCCGTTTCCCACTCACCCCAGGAGCGTTGTCCACGACCATTGTGTTGGCCGGCGACGGGGCGGCAAGGTACGGCGTGTCAGGCAGCCACGAGCGGCCAATGGCGTCCAGGAAGAACGAGTTGGGCGGCAGTCCCGCCCCGATGTGGTAGAGCGAGGCTGCATGGCGATAAGAGGGGGCAGAACGGTCTAAATTGATCAACCAATCACAAGCATACATCACAGGGCTGGGCGGCAATCTCGCCCTGATGTGGTAGAGCGAGGCTGGATGGCGTGGAGAGGGGGGGCGGAACGGTCTAAATTGATCAACCAATCACAAGCATACATCACAGGGCTGGGCGGCAATCTCGCCCTGATGTGGTAGAGCGAGGCTGGATGGCGTGGAGAGGGGGGGCGGAACGGTCTAAATTGATCAACCAATCACAAATATACATCACAGGGTTGGGCGGCAATCCCGCCCCGATGTGGTAGAGCGAGGCTGGATGGCGTGGCGTGTGGTGTGGGGGAGGACAGAGTGAGGGGGGACGAGAGAGTGAGGGGGGTGGGTCAACAGAAAGGGAAGGAGGGGCGAGGCTCCTGCTGGGTGCTGGTTGGATCGCAGCAAGCCAGATAGAGTGTTCCTTTTTCCTTTATGTGCTCCCCAACTGTTGGCATGTCCTTTTGATTAACATTTGGTCGCCCTCTGTGCATGTGTGAGCCTAGACCTACCAAACACAACACAAGCATGCATCACATCACAGCAGTATGGAGCCAAGAGTAGAGCAGAACTGAAGAGTGCAACAATGGAGTGCAACAGTGGAGTGCAATGACTGGAGTGATCTGGCCAGCAGGAGAGAGTGAGAGCGTAGCATATACGAGGTGTGTGAGGCACAGGCATGGAATGCGTACCAAGCACAGCCATATATCACAGGTGTAGAGTAGAGAGCACGAGTAGAGAACAACAGTAGAGTGCAACAATGGAGGACTGCCATGCATGGTGTGGCCTGCAGGAGAGAGTGAGAGTGTAGCATTTGCGAGGTGTGTGGCACTGGTATGCGTACCAAGCACCGCGGTGCTGTTCGGTGCTGTGAGGTTGTACATTCCTCGTGGGCACTCGAGCACCTGGGGGAAAGACGCAGTGAAAGAGAGAGGGTTTACGAAATGAGAGTTGAGAGCAGGAGAAAGAAGCGGCACACCCGCAGGCTCCAGCGGACCCCTGGCCCCTGCAGCTAGGGGACCTCCTCCACACCCTGGAGTGAGGGTAGGGGCTAGGGGACGGGTAGATGTAGAGAGGTGTATTTGCATGTTCAACTTTCTGCTTTCCGTGGACCGTCTCGCTTGTACCAATCACCTCATTAATACAAAGGACCGTTTGAGGTGAAGGGGAGGATGAGAGCTCAGCATCGAAAGGCATAAACAAGAACAAGGACCGATTTTCATGACCATCCCTGTCTCCCATCCCCATCCTTACCACCAGCACCAACACCACCAGCACCATCATCAACAACAGCACCATCACCGCCAACAGCACCATCACCGGAACAGCAGCATCACAGCAGCAGCAGGCACTTACAGAGATGGCGGAGATGACGGGGTCGCCAATGTCCCCCGAGGTGAGGAGGAGGGGGAGAGTGCATGCAGCATGTAAGGTAGCATCTTACAGAGATGGCGGAGATGATGGGGTCACCGATGTCCCTCCCCTCCCCCCCCCCGTGAAGAACACGTCCACAGAGCCGTCTGTCACTTGAGGCGCTTCAAGAATAAAAAGACCAACAGCAGCACCAACATGGTAGCATCTTACAGAGATGGCGGAGATGATGGGGTCACCGATGTCACCCGAGGAGAAGAACACGTCCACAGAGGCTTTGTCTTTTGAGGCACCTCGAATCAAACATCGTCACACCAACCCAGGCAGCAACGTTCCATCATTGACATGATCTTACAGAGATGGCGGAGATAATGGGGTCGCCGATGTCCCCCGGTGTGAAGAGGAGGGGGAGAGTGCATGCAGCGTGTAAGGGTATCAAAGGTAGCATCTTACAGAGATGGCGGAGATGATGGGGTCACCGATGTCCCCCGAGGTGAAGAACACGTCCACAGAGCCGTCTGTCACCGGCACATACACCTCCACCACATGCCCCCGAACCACATCGCCCTCCACAGCCCCGCCGCTGCTGCTGCTGCTGGTGCTGTTGGCGCTGCTGCTGCTGCTGGTGCTGTTGGCGCTGCTGCTGGTGCTGTTGGCGCTGCTGCTGCTGCTGGTGCTGTTGGCGCTGCTGTTGGTGCTGCTGTTGGCGCTGCTGTTGGCGCTGCTGTTGGTGCTGTTGGCGCTGCTGTTGATGCTCCTATTGTTTCTGCGCTTGTTGGTACTCCTGGTGCTGATATTGCCGCCGGTATTGGCGCCGGTGTTGTTGCCATTTCCGGCAGCTGTACTGCTGCTGCTGGCTATGCTAACAAGGTCACTGTTGGTGACCGTCGAAACAACCTTGGCAGCACTGATACCACTGAAACCCCGCCCGAAACCACCACCAGCAGCCCCAGCAGCAGCTGCGCGGGTGCGATCCACAGTAGGGAAGCGTTGCCCGATGGCAAACGCAGGCAGCACCTCGGTTCCCTCCACGCTCACATTGAACCGCCTTGCTCCTGGCACACGGTTCACGAGCTCTGCAAAGTACAGGCGCACCACATAGTAGGCAGGTTCGGGCACAGGCAGGGAGTACCAGAGAGTGAGGCCGTCCCGCGCGTTGAACGCCCTGGCGGATTCGAACACGGGCGCCATGAGGGCTAGAGAGGGGTCCGAGAAGGTGAGGAGGGTTTTGGCTTCGGTTGAGGGAAGGGTGATTGGGATGGTGTCTGTGGGTTTGTTGACTGTGGTGTTGTTCTTGGAGGAAGGGAGAGGGATGCTGGGAGGTGTGGGGGATGGAGCAGAGGCGGCGGAGGGAGGGCTGGTGGTTGCGGTGCTGTTGCTTGTGGGGCTGTTAATTGCAGTGCCGTTGGTGGCAGTGCCGTTGGTGGCAGTGCCGTTGGTGGCAGTGCCGTTGGTGGCAGTGCCGTTGGTGGTGGAGGTATTGATGGTTGCAGTGCCGTTGGCAGCAGTGTTGCTGGCAGTGCTGATAACAGAGATCACAATCGAGCTGTTGCTCCTTCCACTGATACCATTCCCTGCAGCACTACTACTCCCGTTCCGCTGCACTCCTGCCAATGGCGGTATGCCCACCAAGGGCGCTGAGCTGCTGCTGCTGCTGTTGCTCCGGTTGCCAGCAGCAGCAGGAGTGATAGTGAAGGGCGCGCCGAGGGTCATGAGAGGGGCATCGGAGGTCCAAGTGATGGCTGTGGTGTCCGCGAACCAGAGGGTTGTCACGTTCGGGCCTCCGCAGTTGATGAACAATCCGGCTGCAGGATTTGATTCGGATGAGGCGAGAGAGGAGGGGAACGAGCGAGAGGAGAGGAGAGAGAAGACAGAAGGGGGGATAAAAGTGAGGGGAGGGGGAAACGAGAGAGAGTAGCAGATAGGAGGGAGGCAGGAGAGAGGCGAAAGGAAAACGACTGGGGAGAAAGAAGAGCAATCGCAAATTCTGGATTACATTAAGAGAGGTTAAGGACGAGAGGAGGGCTTTGAAGTGAATTCGGTGGCTCACCTTGCATGTTGGCGAGCCAACTTCTGAGGCGCCTCAAAAGTCAGCAGAGAACGGATGGACTTTGAAGAGGACTTTGGGGTGGATTCGGTGGCTCACCTTGCAGGTTGGCGAGCCAATCGGGGTTATCTGTCGTCCTGGACTTGGTGAAACCAGGATTCACGACTCGCCCTTCCTCCAACTTCCACACCACCCCCCCACCCCCTCCCTCTCCACTGCTGCTGTTGTTGCTGCTGGTACTGTTGGTGGCGTTTGCGGCGTTCGCTTGACCGTGACACGCAGCAAGCACCAAAAGAGTGGTAACCAGCACAAGCGTTGGAACCGGGATTGTTTTGAGGCGCCTTGAAGCGCGGATAGCTGGCATTTGAAGAGAAGTTGCAAGACCCATGGAAATCATCGGCTAGTCAGCAGGAGCGATGAGACTTTCACAACTCCTGAAAAACTTCAGTCTCGCTGTGTTCAAAGCTTTGCTCGTTCGTGCGCTCGAGCGAGCACAGGCTTGATAATGACGTGCGTGCGGGGAGTAAGCTGTCTCAAGCTTCTGAAGAGAGCACACAATTCGGATTGATGTCCGTGTGCGTGTGGCCTACACGAGTTCCCTCTATCCCTCTGAAGCTATGGAGTCGTGAAGTGGTATGTTGAACAAAGAGTTCCCGATCCTTAGGTGCTTCTCTTCTCTCTCGTGGACGCTACGGCTGGTAAACTAGCTGGTCCGTTCTCGCATGGAAGGCGGATATCGGAGATTGCTGCTTCGGGGAACAAGTAGATACAAGCCTACGTTGGACCTGCCGATCCTTAACGAAAGGTCGGGCAAAACTATCGTCAAGAGAACTTGTATGAGATATGTGCGACACGACAGAGATGGGGAGCCTGGGGAGCTGAGGGGTTGGGGTCTAGACTAGGATATTGATGACAACCGGAACGCTGCAGCTGGCAGCCTCGTTCAGGATACTCGCGCGGGCTTGGATTGGGCAAAAGTAACGAATTTGGGGATACGGACCGCAGTCTAGCGAGGTATGTACAGTAGTTAAATAATGCGAATGCGTCTGTTGAAAAGGCTACGGATACGCCGGAGAGCAACCTAGTGATGCTTGAAGGTCACGGCGGAGGAGAGCGGCGGGCAGAAGGCAGCGAATGAGAGCGTGGCTTGAAATTGGACCAAGGAGGCCAAGTTTCTGGAGAGCAGTGAAGCTGCGAGGCGCCAAGAGCGCGTCTCCCTATCCATGGCAGTTGCATCTCAGACATTTACCCTCACGGGAAAGAGTGCAACGGATTTAGAAACCGCTTCTGCTGAGCGATGGAGGTCATAGAGCAATGGCAGAATTCGCATCACTAACTCGCCGCCTCGCTCGTTCATACTTCTTCATGACAAAGCTGGAAGTTGCTGCATTCAAGCAGGGTGTGGTGGAGCACTGAACTGAACTGCTGCTGCCCAGAAGACGCTGGTTCACCTTCCATATTTGATCCTGAGCTGTGGTCGGGTGTGCAGGATCACCGCCGCGACCACTTTGCCGCTTCGTCTTCCATGACTCCTTCGTTATGGTTTGCTTCAGGAAGTTTCTCGTAAAACTGTACTAAGATTTCCTAAACATCTGAAACCTCTTATCTATTGTGCCTCCTACTTGTTACCATAATAGGTACCACTACATCAGACTGCTAGTGCAGCCTGCAAACCAACTAATGATACCACCAGTCACGTGTCAGGCAGGCCCTCAGATATCAGGGTTTTTTCCCTGAAATTCCTGATTTTCAGCATACTTTTTTGTACCTACACTGATTTTTCAGTATTTTGATTTTAGTGACACTGATTTTTCAGCCTTTATTTCATAGTTAACACTCATTTATCAGCCTTTTATCGAATGTGTACACTAAATGCACATTCCCCATCCTTCCTGCAAAACACCCAAGATTACGGGGACTCCAACATTTCCGCAGTGGTGTTTAATTATGTTAGAAAGTAGGTTTCCGCAGTGGTGTTTAATTACGGTATGTTAGAATTTAGAAAGTAGGTTTTTGCCAGCATGAACTGTCTCAGTTCATTACCGAAGTGAAAGATCCCGGGTTCAAGACCCTTTGCTGTCATGTTTCGTAAATGCTGCATTGATAATCTAATACGTTTGTGTAGAAATCAGGCTTTTCTTTTTAGTAACTGTTGCGATCAGAAGTTGATCAACCTCAGGATCACCTCAGGAAGGTTCGCACAGTCCTAATCTAGTGGTGGTGGGCCCTTGACCTCAATAGCAGAGTGAATGTAAATGCTTGAGATAATAAAAACATGCAGTACAAGGGATATAAATAAGATTACAAGGGGATACCAATCGACCTAGCTAGCCATGTACTCTAAGGGGTACATTCCCTTATTGCAGCGAAATCCAACCGTGCGACTCCTGACAGTTACGAAACTGTTCGGGCAGAATCCTCGCCACTAATGCTGCCTGATGCTGTCTGCCCAACGGTCCAGATCCTTTCGTAACCGTGTGACTCTTCCTGTCACTTCCGCCTGTTCGTCTTCATTCTCGGTAATACGTGCTTCGATTGTTGCGGTGAGGAGTGTACAATAGTGTTTCAATAGTCACTATTCGTAACACCCCCCTTCACTCCTGGCCTTAGCGAGTCTTGACCCGCTTGACTACCATTCAGTGCTGGTACTGCTGACGTGGTAGCTTTGTCAGAATGTGATGTTTGTGTAGCCTGCAGTGGGGTACTCTGTAGCGAGTACAGCCCGAATTAGGGTTTGCTATATGTACTCAACTGCATGCTAGTGAAAACCCCTCTTTCGTGTTTATCGTTTTAGCCTGCTATTACGACATGCTATCAGAGCAGGTCGACCCTCCTGGGTCGATCCTGTGGGTGGTCCCGCCCAATGCTTCCGCTGCGGTTTCCTGCTGTCCCCTGCCTGCCGCGCGCCCATCCCGCCGCGAGCTCGGGGCGCGCGGCGGTTTTCTGCCCCGTCGAACCGCAGTTTTCTGCCCCGTCGACCGTCGCGTCGCCCCCCGTCGCCCGACGCGGCCCGCGCGACCTGCGCCAGGCCCGCGCGCGACCCGTACGGGCTGCGCCAGGCCCGCGCGCGGCCCGTATGGGCTGCGCCAGGCCCGCGCGCGGCCCGGGCAGCCCGCGTGCGGTTCGTCCCGAGCTTCTGACCGCGCCCCACCCCCACTGCTGCCCGCGCTCCTGTGTTAGGGTTTGGGGGTGGAGAGTATGGGGGTGCCGGGTGTGTGAGCCGTCCCCTGCTCCTCCTCCTCCTCCTCCGTCTCCCACTGCTGCAGCTGCCGCTGAGGGGGGTGGATGTGTTGGAGCCGTCGGAGTGGTACGAGGGGGGTGGCGTGTGAGCGGTGCTAGTGGTTCAGCAGGGAGTGTGTGAAAGGGGTGTGGGACAGTTGGGGGAGGTTGATAGGAGGTGGCCGTTGTGACGTCTGCAGCGCCAGTAGTCCGGGTGTTGAGTACTCCGGTAGCCCAGCGAGCCTGCTGCTGCCAGTCGCCCGTGGGTCTGTTGCTCCTGCTGCTGCTTAGCGCGGAGCCAGTTACTCCTGTAGTCCGGAGGTTGAGTGCTCCGGTAGCCACCCGTCGCCTTCTATCTTCACTCCTCTCACAGTCTCTCCTCCTCCTCACTTGCCCTCTGTGACTGCCTCTAGCTTTGTTTATCATTGTGAACTATTGCTCTATGACTGCTTGTTGTGTTGATTGTACCCCACTTTGACTATGGGGGTGTGTCAGAATGTGATGTTTGTGTAGCCTGCAGTGGGGTACTCTGTAGCGAGTACAGCCCGAATTAGGGTTTGCTATATGTACTCAACTGCATGCTAGTGAAAACCCCTCTTTCGTGTTTATCGTTTTAGCCTGCTATTTCGACAAGCTTCTTCGTGACGAAGTCAGCTGCCATGTCACCCGTCGGGCAATAGGTTAGGTCAACCTTGCCTTTGTCAACTTCGTCCTTGACGAAGAAGTACCGCAGCGCGATGTGTTTGGTCCGATTGACGAATCCCGGCTTGTTCGCGATCCTGATCGCGCTCTGATTGTCGCAGTGCAGGCGAAAGTTCGTCGAGGCTGGAATTTTCGCCTCCTGCAGCAGCTCCTGAAGGTAGAGGCCTTCACGAACGGCTGCTGTTGCTGCGATGAATTCAGCCTCCGCTGATGACAGGGCAACCAGCTCCTGTTTCTGTGAATTCCAGGAGATGGGGCCGCTGGGCTCGAGACGGAAAAGGAAGCCTGTCCTGGACCGTCGATTGTCAGGGTCAGCGGCGTGATCGGCGTCCACGTAGCCGATGAGGTTGAATGATGAAGTTGGGATGGTGGAGTAGCAGAGCCCGATGCTGGGCGTGGAGATGAAGAACTGGAGCGCCCGCTGGAGATCTAGTAGATTCTTAGCCGTTGGTTTGCGAGAGTACTGAGCCAACTGGCTCGCGATGTAGGAAAGGTCGGGCCTGCAGGTAACAGATGCAAAGAGCAGGCATCCCAACTGCTGCTGGTAGGTGTGAAGCCCAACAGGGGACAGGGCTTTGTTGTCAGGCTTGTGGTTGGGTCCTGGAGTGCGGTAAGGGGTGGAGAGTGGTGCAGGCGCAATGTTGAAGCGCTTGCTAAGCTCCTCTGCATACTTCGCTGCTGAGAGATGAATGGCTTCCGGCGAGTAGGTGATGTTAAGCCCGAGAAACTGCTTCACGTCATGGTTGTCAAAGTATATGCATGTTCTATATGTGTAGGCTGTAGTGGGGTAGCCAATATGGGGTACAGCCCCTTTTAGGGTTTCATACTTGTACCCAA